TAAGGGTTCATACCACTTTACACGCTTGAAAATGAAGCTATTTTCTAGAATTTTTTTTACGATTTCTATGGATTATATTAATCTGCATTTTTTTTAGTTCAATAAATACACTCTTTAACTTTATAAAAAACCTTATTTTATTTAAAAAATATTATTTGTTTATTTAAAATTTAACAATAATTTTAGACCTGCTAAAAATACCGATGCCAGCTGCGGGATTGATTTCTCAGGTTAGAAAAATCTAAAACACAAAATTCAAATTGATTCATCTTCAGTAGGACTGTGCCTATCGCCCGAACTAGAGTTTTTAATTTTTATGCAAAAATAACAAAATGGCGTCAATTTAAATTTGTTTTTTCGAAAATTAAAGTTTTTTTTGGCAGTTTTTCGGTTTAAAAAAATAGTAAAAATTAATATTTTTAAATAATTCTAGTTCCGGCGATACCCACCCATGTGGCGAAGATTTTCGTAAAAAAAATTTGAGAATCGGTCCAGTAGTTTCCGAGAAAAACATCCCGCAGTATGAAAAAATGTGGTTTTGAGAAAAACGCGTTTAAAGTTTGTGTTTTATACTTACATAGCCGTGTACGCGCTCAAATAGTCTTGAAAAAATATATTTTGAGTGCTGGGATCTTTCTAAAAATTTTACACCACATTTTTGATATATTTTACTTTCGAAATCCAAAATAAAAATTTTTTTGCTTTTTTGAAGATGACAAAGTGGTATGAACCCTTAAGGCAATTACAGATCTTCTTCAAAATAATAAGGATGTTCTTTCTCAAATAGAATTAACATTACCAATTTGTAGAAACTTGTACTACAGTTAGATAAAGGTTTTTAAAAAATGTAGTTAAATTTTTGAGACCTGTGGGTACTTGTAAAAAAAAGTTATAAGCGTCTTTGTTTTTATCTTTTAAGTTTTAACATTGAGTTTTGTGGGAATTGAGTACATTTTCAAACATTTTTACTCACCACAAAGTACTTAACATTAAGAAAATGATAAAACATTTTTTAATACGGGACAGATATATAATGATTAAATATCTGTTAAAAAAGTGTCATTTAGGTACCTGTGTGAGTTGCAGTAAATTAATTTGTATAAATATTTCATGTTTAATGCAGTATATTGAACAGCTGTTTAAACATCTGGCAACATTGCACACAATTTTCAACTCAAAACTAAATGTAAACAAGTCATACCAAACATTTGCAACACGACTAAAGAAATACAGTGTTGCCAGATTTTTCAAAGTACCAAGCAAGTCAGCGACCCTAAAAACTACCGAGTGACAAAATTAAGATCAATTGCATAAAGTAAAAATTTTGTTTCATATTTGATGCGCCATTTTAATTTATTGGAAATTAACTAACTAACCCCCGAGTGACAAAATTAAGGTCAATTGCCTAAATTGTTAAAATGTTTGTCCCACATATTAGATCCGCCATTTTGAATTTATTAAAAATAACATTGAATTCGTAATCAGCGACCTTAAAAGCCTTCGAATAAGAAAACTTAGGCGAATTTAATAACATTTTGGTATTTTGAAAAATAGTGACCAACCCTTTCGAAGTTTCCTTCATATTTGATGCCATATTTGGTCCGCCATCTTTAAATTTTAAATTCTAATTTACGTTTCTTAAAAGTATACAATTTTTGTGCCCCTATGGATAAGAATTGAATTCACGCACGTTTAACCCCTTAGCTGTGTAGTCAAAATAAAGTTTTCGTGACACAAATGTGCTAAATTTTTTTTATTTCTTTTAATACCTGATATCATTTTATTTTATGTTTTTGGGGTCGCTGAATCTAAATATTTGATCAAAATCTAAAATTTCAAAATTGCTGCTTTAAAATAGCTATCAAAAAATTTCAAAGTTTACGGATTTTAAATTTTTTCGTTTGCCATTATAAAGCCGACATTTTGAATTTTTTAATTCTGACCAAAGATTCGAATTCAGCGACCAAAAACTTTAGAATATTCATTGATATTCATATTTCATTTATTACAGAGATTTCCTTTTAGATGCCGCTATAAAGGCCAAACACATTGGTGGCACGAATTATTTTTGCCTCTAGACGTCATACACTGTGAAGGGGTTAATAAGTAAAAAAATTATCAAACTTGGAAAAATGAAATTTCTTTTGTGTTTTTGAAATTAAAACCGCCATTTTTAATTTTTGGGTTGAACGAAATTCTTTTTTTCACACCGAAATCCAAAGGATATATCTCATAAGAAATACACTGTTTCATAAAAAACATACTTGCGGTATAAAATATGATCCGTTTTATTTATAAAAGTATAGGTTGAAATTGCGCAAAGAATTTTCTTATTTTAGGCGTTAATGGGTTAATCATTAAAATAATATTATAATATTAGGGGAGAGTGGGGCAAACCGACCAGGAATCAATAACTCCGAAATGTCGAAATTGTAAAAAGTGTTGTTTAGAGTTTCGAAACAACCATGTGTAGTAAACCTTATTTTAAAACGAATATTTATTCTCAAAATGAGCCTATGGGGTAAACCGGCCATAGGATATTTTCATTGAATCAGAGTTTCATGAAAATTATTATTAATTAGAATGTTTTTTTCTTTAAAATATTTATTTTCAATGAAAAATAATTGTCTTCCAATGAGAATTAGACCCTTTAATACTGTTTCCCTGATAATTTTAAACATTTTTGTTTGTTATTAAAATAGTATATTTTTCATAACAAGGTGCAAAAAAGTGCCCTTTTTTGCACCGCGTTATGAAAAAATTATTTATTTAATTAAAATTTAATCCTGTATTTATTAACATTATTACAACCATTGTTCACATGATTGTTTATGTTTTTTGTTATTGTAGATTATACAAATGCAATATTATAGATAAAAAAAACCTAACTGGCCGGTTTACCCCAGGCAGGAGGTGGGTTAAACCGGCCAGTTTGCAAAATTTTTTAAAGTTTACGCAGAAACTAAACAATTAACTATATTAATCTTCATACTTATTCTGTCTGTCACTGTATGAGAGACAAAGCACGATAAAGAGAAAGAGAGGGAGGGGTCTCTCCTTTTAGTTTAGCGCAGGAAGGAAAGAGGACGAATAGGTTTACAGGAGAGCATAATGTTTTCTCCATTTTCCGTGTTAGGTAGAAAGAGAGGAAAAGAAATTGGTAGGAGAAGGAAAAGTGGGGAATTTCACTTTTAAGCCAAAATACGAAAAGAGCGTCTTATTTCCTTATTGGATAATTATTTTTCTTTTCTTACTCACAGATAGATTAAGGAGTGAAATAGAGGGAGATCAAGAACGAGGTAGGAGTGAGGGGTATAAATTTTAACGGTATTCCATATACTAAATGGACAATTTTTCACCAATTTCTGACCCCCCCGCCACCGGTTGTGGACAATCGTGAACATTTGGCAAACCCTCTCCCCTTTCCACTTGTTCACGTGGACAATTCACATTTGAAAAGTCTGTGAGTATTTTTTTTAATGTTACTCCTGCATTTTAAAAAGTAATAAAGCTCATTTTTGAACATATTTCAAAGCACGAAATTACGAAAATGATTAACGATTAAAATAATAAATATACACTATAATTTAATTAAACACTTTATTTCTTTTAATTATTATATTGCTATATTAACACCATAGTCAGGGAAACAAAATTTTTTCAGTAAAGTCAGGAAAATGTCTATAAAAATTTTTTTTCAGGGAAAGTTAGAAATTTGAGACATTTTTTTCATTTTTTTTTGAGACATTTTTTTCGACTTTTAAACAAACCTTTCAAATTAATATAAATTAGCATCTAATTTTTTTAAAATGCAATATTTTCAGTATTTATAATTACATATTTTCAAAAATCCAAATACATACAAAAATAATATTTTAGAATTATTTTTAACATTTTGGAGAAAACATTTATATTCAAAAATTTTAATTAAAATTCATCAAATAATTAATTAGTTTATTTAAATTATACAAAAAATCTATTAAGAAATTCAATCCTATTTTCAAAAAATTGCTTTAAATTTTTTGTAAAACTAATTCGTATAATTGTTTTATAATGATTATTTAAGATTTAATTATCTTCGAACAATGTAAATAAAATTTTTTGAATATTTATTTTTTGGACTTATTAAAGTTTTTGACAAATTATAGTCTTGTTAATAATTAAAATTCTTAAAAAATTTGATCATTTTTATTAATATTTTTTACTAATTCTATTATTTTTAAAAGATTTTTACAAATTTTAATTGTTTTTGAAGATAATTGAATCTTAAATAATTATTATAAAACGATTATACTAATTACTTTTTAAAAATATTTTAATGTAATTTTTTAAAAATAATTGAATTATTTAAAATAATTCTGAAATATTATTTTTGTATGTATTTAGATTTTTGGAAATATATGTCATTGAAAACACTGAAAATATTGAATTTTAAAAAATTAGAAGCCATTTTTCATCAATTTTTATTTTTAAATTTAATTTATACAATTTTCAAAAATTGTAACAAAATACTTAAAATAAATAAATTATTTTTCAATTAAATTTCACAAAATTTGAACTATTCAAAAAGGTTTTTATTATAGGTATATTTCAAAAATTGAATTATGTCTTATAAAATGATTCAAAAACAATTTTTGAATGATTTGTTTATAGTTACTTTTCGCATTATCAAAATCAAAATAACTTGCACATTTTTACTAAAAATTGTGGTTTTTTATGTATTGTCTCAATTTTCTTAATTTCATGAAAAAAAAATTTTCCTGACATTTTCCTGACTATGGTGTTTATATAACATTATAATAATTATAAAAAAATAAATATTTTAATCAAATTATAGTGTTTATTTATTATGTTAATGATTAACTCAATAACGCCTAAAAAAAGAAAATTCTTATCAAATTTTATTTTATTGAGTGTGCTCTTTTCGATTCTAGTGTGAAAAAAAGAATTTCGCCATTTTAAAGCCGACATTTTGAATTTTTTAATTTTTAATTGACGCAATGAGAAGAATGGAATATAATCCTGATATTCCTGAGCTTTTTATACAAAAACCTTACCGATGGAATCAAGAACCAGTTCATGCAGACGAAATAATAGCTCCTTTGCATAGAATTCCAGCACAAGAACCAGTTCATGCAGACGAAATAATAGCTCCTGTGCCGAGGATGCCAGCACAAGAACCAGTTCATGTTGATGAAATAATAGCTCCTGTGCCGAGGATTCCAGCACAAGAACCAGTTCATGTTGATGAAATAATAGCTCCTGTTCTGAGGATGCCAGCACAAGAACCAGTTCATGCAGATGAAATAATAGCTCCTGTGCAGAGGATATCTTTTGTTTATAATTCAACCGGTGATTCTGCCCCTTGGATCCGTGTAAGAACTCGACCCCGGTTAGAAGTTCCACTTCCACCATTAGAGGAAATGGAAGCACTAGTGGAAGATGAGGTACCGGCTCTTCTGCCTATAGCAGCACCTAGAAATGATCCACCTGTGCCAGCACCTTCGAACTGTGTACTTGACAACTTAAAAATTCAAGATGGCGGATCCAAAATGGCAGAAAAATCAGAGAAAAATACTTGATAAATAGCAAATGCATCATCAATATTCAAAACTTGATTTAAAACATCTGAAAATGACTTTTGGGGGGTTTAAGGGGTCGCAGATTACGAATATGAAGTTTAATTTTAATAATTCAAAATGGCGGATGAAAATATTTTAAAATCGATAAAATTGCATAAAATTACTCACTCATGGGTTTTTGGGGTCGATGATTACTAATATGAAGTTCAATTTTTTAAAATGACTTCTCGGAGGTTTTAGGGGTCACTGATTACGAATATAAAGTTTAATTTAAAAATTCATAATGGCGGATCCAATATTGCGGATAAAATTTTTTGAAAATTGATAAAATCGCATAGAATTACTCACTCGAGGGTTTTTGGGATCGCTGATTACGAATATAAAGTGCAATTTTTAAAATTCAAAATGGCGGATCCAATATGGCGCATAAAAAATTTTGAAAATCGATAAAATTGCATAGAATTACTCACTTGGTGGTTTTTAGGGTCGCTGATTACGAATATAAAGTGTTATTTTTCAAATTCAAAATGACGGATCCAATATGGCGGATAAAATTTTTTGAAAATCGATAAAATGGCATGAAACTACTCACTCGGGGGTTTTTGGGGACGCTGGTACGAATATAAAGTTCAATTTTTAAATTCAAAATGGCTGATAAAAGAATTGTAAAATTAATAATATTACAGGAAATTACTACTGGAAGGAAGATATCGTACTGTGTGGCATATTTTTTGGTTATCTTATAATCTATTTATTTTAAAAAAATCTTGGTAAGTAACTCTTATTCTTTTAATGAACTATTTTCTTGTATTATGCCTAAGCATAAGTCCAATAACGCAACTGAAATTACATCACCTAATCCACAGAGAAGGAAATATTTAACACGTAGTTTTCAATATGAAAAAGACCAAGCAAATAATAACACAGGCCGACAAAATTTGTTTTTGAAGAATCAGACAATACTTTTCCGAAGGTTTTCCACGCGTTGAATCCTCAAAATAGACTCTGCACGTCAGGTTTTCAAGATATTTTAACCTAAAAATGCAAAAAAGATGTTTTAGTTATATTTGATGTCATGTAACATCAAGAGATAATTTTTTCTCTAAAAGGTCAATATTGCACCTAAAAGCGCTACTCTTCCCCTTAATATCCATTTTAAAAATTTAAAAAATCTTTCTTTGTGTCTCAGTAATCGTTCATTGAATTTTCTGAGTTTGGCGAATTCTTCGAAAACCGAGTAGAAACAGACAAAACTTTGATAATAAAGAAGAATATAACTACAGACATATAAATTTTAAATAGTTCTGAGGATTTTCGATATAACTGAATACGAATTCGATGTCAGATATACAAAATTCAAAATGGCAAATTTTAAGCAAATACAATCAATTTTTAATAAAATCTTCTGCCATATTAGGTCGCTTTTTTAAATTTAAAAAATTGAACTTCATATTAGTAATCATCGACCCCAAAAACCCATGAGTGAGTAATTTTATGCAATTTTATCGATTTTAAAATATTTTCATCCGCCATTTTGAATTATTAAAATTAAACTTCATATTCGTAATCTGCGACCCCTAAAACCCCCCAAAAGTCATTTTCAGATGTTTTAAATCAAGTTTTGAATATTGATGATGCATTTGCTATTTATCAAGTATTTTTCTCTGATTTTTCTGCCATTTTGGATCCGCCATCTTGATTTTTTAAGTTGTCAAGTACACAGTTCGAAAGTACAACTATTTTATCCACCTATAGCATACATGAGACTCGCCAAAAAAATTCTTATTGATGTAAAAAGCATGTTTTAAAAAAAATCCTACGATTATTTCGGTATTTTTTCCATTTTGGGCGCCATATTGGTTTCCCTGATTGTCGAAATGCTTTTTTGACCCCGGATTCTGAAAAAGCGGACCTCAATACCCCCTAATACCAAAAGGTTCTTAAAAATCTAATCATTTAGGATAAAAATTCTTACCTTGAACTTCAGTCAAAAATTTTGGACATTTGGGCGTTAATGGATTAATAGCTCTTTTTTTATTTCTTCTTTTTTATTTCTTCTTTTTTTGATTTTATTTTTTTTATGTGTTTCTTAAATGTTTTTTTCTGCAAGATCAGTTTACTAATGATCACTTTTGCATGACCTTTTATTTTGTTCAATGTTTTTTTTAGTTTTCTAACCTCAATTACAATTTCAATTATTAGTTTTCTTTTAATTTCTCCAATTTTTTTACTTTTCTAACCTCAATTAGAATTTTTTAGATTTCAAATCTTAATTACATTATTTTTTATGTTTCTTTTGTTTTCTAACCTCAATTACAATCACAATTTTTTAGTTTTCCTTTTATTTTTCTTATGTTTTTTTTATTAGATTTTAAACCTTAATTACATCTTTTTTTCTATTATTTTTTAGCTTTAATTTTTTTATGTCTGCAATTCTTTTCTTGTTCAGTTTTAAAATCTGAATTACATCTTTTTTTCATTTACTTTTTTAGTTTACATTTTCTAATGTTTCTTTTTTTAATTGTTTTAATTTAAATGTGTTTATTTGAATGTATACATATGTAAAAAAAAGTTTTTTTGTTTTAGTTAGTTGAACATATGTATATTTACTAGTTGTATGTAATACGTCTTTATTTGGCTTCATATTGTATAACATTTTTTCTCTTTAATTTGAATGTGTTTATTTGAATGTATACATATGTAAAAAAAAGTTTTTTGTTTTAGTTAGTTGAACATATGTATATTTCCTGTTTTTGTGTGTAATATATCATTATTTGACTATACATTGTGTTATATTTTATTTGAGATGTTCTTTACTTTATTTTAGATGTTATATTAATGTATGTTTAAATTTATTGTAATTAATATTTAATGATAACATTAATTTAAAATAGATTATTTTTTAATTCCAATATTGACTTGATAATAATTTAATTAATATTGACTTGTTATTACTTTTCTTTTAATTAACGTTGAGTCAACTTAAATTTATTATAAGCTTAATTCGAACTTAAGAAATTAACTAATATTGTTGTATATTTAAAAATTTTGTAATTATTAAACAATATTTAACTTATTGTAATATAGATAAATTAAAGTTATCTTTAATATTACATATTTTGAAATAAGATTGATTTATTTACATTAAAATGTCTATTTATGTATTATATTTAGTATATAACTATTGTTAAAGAGTCCTACAAGGGTGACTAACACACAGTAGAAGCCTCATTCGACTCGTAGCAGTGGAGTGAGCTACCCACAATTGGAAATGAGCTACCGGTGCTACCAATGCCTCGTGAGGATGGTGCAATGCAATACAATACAATACAATACAATAAAAAATTTCGTGTATGTATGTATGTATGTATGTATGTATGTATGTATGTATGTATGTATGTGTGTCGGTATGTCACAGAATCTTTGTTCGCGCATCACTTAAAAACTGCTGAACCATTTGAAACCAAATTTGGCAGAATGTTAGACCTAGGGCCAAGCAAGGTTAATAAATTTACAGATTTGAAAAATATTAATTAGAACAGGAGATATTCAATTTTTTCGAAAAATTCAAAAATTTTCAAATTTTACATTTTTTTAAAAAATGCTTTCAAACTTTCTATAATTGAGTGTAACATGTTATTTAGTCACATTTTAGAATAGTTTTGCCAAAAATAATGTCCTATAACTAAGATGTAAGTATAAATTTTTTTTTTTAAATTCAAAAAATCGAAATTTTTCAAATTTTAAATTTTTTAATAAATTGCTTTTAAACTCTCTATAATTGAGTGTTACATGTTACATAGTCAAATTTTAGCATAATTTTTAAAAAAAAGTACTGTCCTGTAACTAAGACGTAAGTATAAAAATGATTTCGAAAAATTCAAAAAATCGCAAATTTCCAAATTTAATATTTTTTAATGGACTGCTTTTAAACTATCTATAATTAAGTATTACATGTTATTTAGTCACATTTTAGCATAATTTTAAGATTTAAGTATAAAAAAGTTTTCAAATAATTGAAAAAATCGCAAGTTTACAAAGTTTACATTGTTTAATGAATTGCTTTTAAACACTGTATAATTAAGTATTACATGTTATTTAGTCACATTTTCGCATAATTTTGCACAAAAAATGATATGACTAAGATGTAAGTATAAAAATATGTTCGATATCAAAAAATCGAAAAAATTATAATTGTTATTAATTACTATCAAGTTTAATTCAGTAGTATTTTTAAGGTCTTTGATTAAGATTTTGACGTCAAAATAATGCAATTCATAATTATTTATCCAATTCATTCAGTATTCTTTAATTAAAAGAAGTTCAGAGACTTTAAAAATGGAGATGTTTTATAATAAATATTTTATGATAATTTTCCATAATTTTAGATTTTTTGCCAAAGAATGGAGACTATTAAATAAGTAAAATATTTTTAAAGAGCACAAAAATAATAAAGCTAAATGCCATAAAAAAGAAGGAAAAATATTGAATTTTAAGAAATTCGGTTTTTTGAATTTTTGCTAATTTTCCATAATTTTAGATTTTTTACCAATGGGTGGAGACTATTAAACAAGTAGATTATTTTTGAAGAGCACAAAAATATTAAAGCTAAATGTAATAAAAAAGAAGGAAAAATGTTGAATTTTAATATATTCAGTTTTTTGAATTTTTGCTAATTTTCCATAATTTTAAATTTTTTACCAAAGGGTGGAGACTATTAAATATGTAAATTATTTTAAAAGAGCACAAAAATAATGAATCTAAATGCCATAAAAAAGAAGAAAAAATGTTGAATTTTAAGAAATTCGGTTTTTTGAATTTTTGCTAATTTTCCATAATTTTAGATTTTTTACCAATGGGTGGAGACTATTAAACAAGTAGATTATTTTTGAAAAGCAAAAAAATATTAAAGCTAAATGCAATAAAAAAGA